GTCATGGACAATTCAGATGGCGTTTGAGCGGGACCTGGATGGGAACGATGACGACATTGACATGGTTGAGCGCTGAAGACATTTAAGGTTGTTTTATTATCGGTTTATTTTCCGGTTTCTTGTCTCCTTGTTTTCACGAGCTCCTTTGTTTCTTAGATCCTTGGCCGCATTCCTGCGCCATTATATTTTTTAACATGGCCCATAGTACAACCAACGAGGCGCGAACCCGTATGTGTGTTTTCCCATATCCCATCTCATTCGCTCGACGTATCTTACGTCGATGCGGACTGCAAGGTTTTATTCGGGGAATCTGCCGTTTGGCTGGGACTGCTTTTTTTTTCTTTTTTTTTTTTTTTTTCTTTCGGCGCAAGGGTACTTGGCTTTCAAAATCAAATCAATGCATGTCAGGGGCAGATGCCCTTGCCATTACAAATCTTGCGCATATCTGAGCAACAGCCATGTCGACACCAGCAAGGAAATCTCGCAACGTGGCCATCGGTGCCAGTCTCCTGCATATGGTCTCATTACGAGTGGCCAGCCGTTGCCAATGCTCTACTCTGGCCCGTGTTTCCGCCGGCGACCGCGGCTTGTGGGCCTGTCGAGGTCGTAATTCCCATCCTGGCCTCAAAAGGGTTCGGCTCAGCGGACGAAGGCTCCCCACGAGGCAGGTAAGGCAGCTCTGCGGACACCTTCAGGGGCGGATCTTGGGGCGCGCCGGCGGCGGTGGAGTCATAAGGGTCTGTCCGTCTGTGATTCTTCCTAGCGGCCGTGGAGGGTGTCATCGAGCCTCACCGCTCTCGGCTGGCGTCTGTCACATTTTCCTGAAATTTGACCAGATCAGCGCGGCGGGCGCCGACGCGAGGGAGGCGGCAGGTTGATTAGGCCCCGGACGGGCATTGGCTGCAGCCTTCCCCCCCTGCGCGCGCCGGCAGGTCCTCACCGGTCTCGAGCCTTCGGTTCCGGATGCTTTTCGTTTGTACCTCTGGCTGGCTGGCTGCCTTCCATGTGCCGGCCCTGTGACGCAAGCGACGGACCTGCTCGGACGAGATGTGAGATGGCGAGGAGATGGAGGCAGGGAGAGCTGGTTACACACCCACGGATTGAGTGCCTGCATGAAGTGACAGGCTGTCTGAGGGGAATCAAGTGGTCGGTCCCCAACGGTGACGCGAAGGTCGGGCGTGCAAACAAAGTCGGGTTTCCTAACTGGGGAGGCTCGCCTACTATGAAGGTGTGGAGAGATGGAGAGAAGAGAGGTCCTCAGCACCTTCCCCTCTTTTTAGGGCAGTTTGGAGCTGGGACGGAAGGTGCCCCCACCACATAGTGAGTGGCGCACCCCACCAACCCCCCAGCCGAGCCCATTGAGAGCCATAATGATGGTGTCTTTAGCCGAGACGGGGGTGACTTGCAGCAGTCCCAGACCAGTCCGTTTCGACTCTCTTGGTCGATCGCCTAGCTTCTTCCATCCATCATCATTTGCCTGTCCGCTATCATGCTTGTCACTCACAAAAGCAGATCCCCTCCCAGGCGACGTCGAGCCGCCCCCTCCCAAGCATCCTAGGCCAACCGAATGTCACCTCGCCAGGTGTCTGCAGGGAACGCCAGCCCACCAGCTCCTCCTGGGCGCTCTGACCGTTGTTGACACATGCAACCTGACCCATGGCTCTTCGCGAAGAGGTGGCCACTGCGCCCTGGCAGGAGCTCGTCCGGGGGTGAAATTGGAGAGGCAGCACGGAAAAAAACAGAACCTCGGGTCGCCGTCGCAATCATGCACGCCACGCCGCGCCATGACGAACCAGGAACTGGAAGCCCGCCCGCCCGCCCCCTCTGTTGCGCCAGGACCAAGAGTACGAGTGAAATGAAACGCCGCCAGAGATTGTCCATGGAAAGACACCCGACTAGACTGGAAGGAAAGAGCTCTTCCGTTCGTCCATCCGCAACGCCCCAGGCAGCCATCCAGCCCGCCCTTATCCACTCGCACATCATGGGCGGGTGGCTCCTCTCCCTGGTTCGCGCCCGGCTTCTGCCACGCTACACTCAGCCGCCAGCCTGCTCGCCGGCGGTCCCTTTGCCGATGGTCGGCGGGGGCCCGCGATAAACACATGGCAGAGGGCGAGAAAGGCGCTGTCTGATTGCTGCACCCACCTCCACTGCCCTTGGTCTTAGCTCAAACGGTACTGGCTTCCGCCCGATACGCACGCCATGCTCTGATTCATGCGGCACCAATACCTCCCCTCCAGCTCGCTAGCTTGGGTGCAAGGGAGTGAGCCGGCGTCGGCCTCGAACTCTATGGTAGAGTGTGCCTTCCTGATAGGCTGGGTACCTTGTTGGGCGCCGACAACTATCTTACCTCCTATGTCGGGATCATTCCGTCTCTTTTGACCGGCACGTCACCTTGTATCCACCAAGCAGCGTAGCAGTCCCATTTCCTGCCAGAACTAGTCGGTTCGTTATCTCCCTTTCTCCTTCCTTTGGCTCGAACGTATCTAGGGAGAAGATATATCAGGGGTCCATCGGGGCCAACGATCCAAGGCCGCCCACCGTATCTATGGTGCGTCCCGTTCCGGCGCTTATACGGTCCACCTTGTGTCACCATATCACTTGCGCCCTCCCTGACTCCATGTCGTTCCCATATCACGCACGCTACCCTTCGTTGTATTTGGAGTCTCGCTCGTATCAACTCTTGGGATATCAGTGATATCCTTCTATTCTCACAACCCTACCACGTATCAATCACCTCATCTGATCTCTGCCCAGGAATATCTCCGCAACCTCATCTCAACATCTCTCCTGCCAGTGCCGGCGGAGCTCTCATCCATATCACGTTCTTAACAGCACCCTTGGTATACATTCTTTGACCAGACCTACGGGGCAACACCTTACTTCGATCGGCCACACATACAATACGATCACACATATATTGCGTTCACACATACAATACGATCCACACGAAAATACAGCAACAGATACAATACGGTCACTATCAAACCTACGTTTTCTCCGACTAAAGAGAGATATATAAGCACTGGCCAACCTCCGCCCACGCTCGTTTGCAGCAAACAAAGCTGCCTGGTAGGGCAATTTGTTTGTTCGCTTGGATATATACGTGGAGGATCTACGCTCTACCTCTCCTAACCTATAAGGAGCACAAGGCATCACAAATCTTACCAGGCCAGCTTCTTAGTATAGCAGCTCGCCCATACCCGAGCACGACCCCTCATTCCACATGTCGGAGCCACCGAACACACCTATGCCGGCGGGCACTCCGGTCCCCGCCAGCACACCCATAGCGGGCACGCCGCCGAGATCGACAACGCCGCTAGCCCACTGCGGCACGCCCACGAACGGACACTCGATAACCAACGGCCATTCTCACACCAATGGCTACCCAACGTCCAACGGGAACCTGGGCTCCAATGGTCATGCTAAGCTCCCAAACGGCTGTGTTAATAAGGCGATTGTCCTCCACATCGGTGATCCTATCCAGTACAACCCGGACTCATACGCAACCTTTTCCAAGGCCTTTGACGTGGTCCGGCCCAGCTTGTCGGAGCGGCAACGTCCTGAGTTCATCAAGGCACTACGCGAAGGTCGATGGGGCAACTTCAGCGCCATCTTCCGCCCTTTCTGGGGTACTGGCGGTGAAATGGGCAAATGGGATTCCGAGCTGATCGACCTCCTCCCACAAAGCTGCCGCGTCTTCGCGAGCGCTGGTGCCGGCTTTGACTGGGCAGACACGCAGAGGCTTGGCAACCGAGGTGAGTCAAACCTAGGACCTAGGGCTGCAGCAAACTGGAGCGGGATTTGGCGTTGATGCTGATGTGGAAGATGGGTGCGCACGCAGGCATTATATACTGCAACTCGGGACTCGCAGCCGCCGAGGCGGTGGCCGACTTTACTGTCGCCATGGTCCTCTCGACATTTCGCCACCTGCCGTGGTGCATGGGCGCGGCGATCGAGTGTCTTGAAGATGACGAAGAGGATTCGAATTTCATGCTCTGTCACGCCCTGGCGACGGCACGCTCGCACAACCTCCGTGGCCACAATCTCGGCATCGTCGGTCTCGGCAATATTGGCCGGCAGCTGGCCGCCAAGCTGGGAGGATCGGCCTTCGGCATGGCGATTCACTACACGGACGCCCGCCGCAAGCCCGAACAGGTCGAGCGCGAACTGGGCGTCACCTACCACCAGGATATCAGCTCCCTCCTGGCCGCGTGCGACTGCATCGTGCTCTGCGTTCCGCCCAGAGCTGATGGCCGACCTGTTTTGGACCGCGCGGCGTTGTTTAGGTTGGGGACGGGTTCTCGAGGTGGTCACCCGAAGCCGGGACTACGCATCGTGAACGTGGCGCGGGGATCACTGGTCGACGAGGAGGCGCTCGCGGACGCGCTCGAGTTGGGTGTCGTGACGGCAGCGGCGCTCGACGTGCACGCATCGGAACCCCGAATCAACCGGCGACTACTCCGCATGGCCAGGGTGGGAAACGGCGGTGCCGGAGCCGGCGGCAGCTCCAGCTTCCCGGGCAGGGTCATGCTGACGTGCCACAATGCCGGCGGTACCGTCGAGACGCACGCTGGGTTTGAGGAGCTCAGCATGCGCAACATCATGGCTGTGCTGGGCGGTGGCGTTCCCATAACGCCTGTCAACTTGCGGTACCTGAAGAAGCACTAAATACCTATAGGTACAGGTGCAACTAGACGGCTACGGCGGCGCTGTTCTCATCTCGAAGAGTAAACGGTTAGTTGGGAGGCTAAGCGTTGATTTCCGATGATACCTAATCTATAGTTGGTACCATAGTTGATGCGTTTATCTGTTCTCCAAATTAATACTTCATTATCATTACGACGGCACTTTGGGATGCATCTAGCGCAGCCCTGTGCTGAAGACAGATATAGAAAACCCTTGCTATCTATCCCGCTCAACGCCTTAACCAAGCTAGTCGTTTTGACAAGGCTATCATGGACGCGCTCATGCTGCTCCGCCGGCCATCCGACTGGTAGTCCGTGTTGCCCAGGCATGTCAAATCAAGGAACACGTTCCAAGCAGTGCCCCTCCCCAGCTCCGACCACGACAAGCTGAGAGGTGGCACCGCCTTGCCGTGCCAGATCATGCCGGCCGTGTCGCTCCTGGCGGGCGGTGCGAGAGTGCCGCAGCAGGCCGCCGGGCCCGCCGCCCCGGCCCGCAGCAGGACGCCGACCACGTCTTCGAAGGGCGCCGCGTCAGCGAAGCCGTAGCTCGCGGCCAGGGTCGGGTGTCTGTAAATGAGAGTGTTGTGATAACTAGCTGGCTATAGTGAGAAGGAATGAAAGCGGTAAAATCCAATCATACCGATAGAAAATAGACTAACAAGAGACATCAGGCACGAAAAAGAGAGGAAGCCAGAGCAAGGGGAATCTTATATAAACGAGCCAGATATGCGATCTCCCCCAAGACTCACGCCCGGCGCCCCGGGCTGCCACATTTCAGGAGACGATCACCGAGACCTGCCGCACTTACATGATCGGGGATGGTCGCACAGGTGAAGAAGTAGAAGGGCAGGTGTGCGCACCGTATCGAATGGCGATGCGCTTCCAAGGGGTCAGGCCGTAAGGCTAGAAAACATAACCGTCTCGTTGGCTGCCTGGGTGCCTGTACATGCCCACCATGGTCGCAACTCTCGGCGGACAGGACTTCTAGAACTAGGACTCGGGCCTTTTTCCCCAGGCTGCGGACGACCGAGAGGATCGGTAGTCAGCTGAGGGGCACCCACCGCCCGCCACCCTCTTCCCGCTGTGCAGCAGACCCCCGACCACTGAGAAGGCTGCGGCTGGTAAGGCTGGGTCTTCTAGCGTCCAGGCAGGGCCCAGCCTCATGGGGATTTGGGGTGGTACGGGCACACGCCTTGTGGTCTTGGAGGGGGCGCAGGGTAACTAAGGGGTAGCGGAGCGCGAGGAGAAGATGGGGCTTTGGCTGCAGCATCTATGCATTGCTACAGTGTCTCAGGCACGGCATCGGCACGGTCCGGTCAGTCGAGCCGGGCTATCAGTTGGAGAGTCTGTGATTGGAATCATGCTGACGTGCATGCATAAGCGGCCATTATAGCATTGAAGGATGTGGCTTGATGTCCTGTCGTGAGACAAGACAAAGAAGACGAAAAGAAAGGCAAAAGCAAAGCATCCATCTGGGTATTCTATCTTCAAGCATAGTCTCATTGTTATTATTCATACACCGTATTTCCCTCTAGACCTCCGTGCTTCTACTCTATGTTTTGCCCGTAATAACCCTTAGACGCCTGGCCGGACCGGGTCGGGTTCGGCCCCTGGGCGTAAAAATGACGCCCGCTTCCCCTTCCCTCGCCCCGTGTTGAACGGTGCGACATCTGCTTGTTCTCCTCGAGCGACTTCAAGAACAGTCGTCGAGGCCCCACACTAAAAATATAATATACAGGCCTGGCTGTGCGGCGAACCGACACCTCCACGAAGCCACCAGCAGTCGTGATCACTCGGTGCTACCGCCCAGACGGCGACTTGAACGCTGAGCTGCGCTTTATGCGGAGCCAGGCCCAGACCCTAGTTACGCCCCCCGCTCTCGGGTCGGCCCCAGCCGCGGCCAGCTCCCTGGTCACGGCCTTGAGGGCCCTGCTGCTGCACCTTCCCTCCCTGTGAGCCCGCCGAGCCCACTCCAGCGGCGTGTACCCGTCCCCGTCCCGCGCGCCCGTCTTGACCCCTTCCCTGGCGACCAGGTCGCGGACGGCCCCGGCCCACCCCTGGCCGGCAGCACGGTGCAGCGCCGTGCTGGACCCCGGCCCCTTGCATGTCGGGTCCGCCCCGGCCGCCAGGAGCGCCATCATGAGGTGCTCGTCCCAGCACCTCAGCAGGGCCGGCAGCCCGCCGCCGTCCGCGGCGTTGAGGTCGAGGACGTGTCGGACGTCCAGGAGTAGCCGTAGGATTCCGCCGTGGTCGCCGGCCACGGCGAGGTGCAGCGCCGTCTCGCTGGACGGGGACATGACGTGTTCGTTCGGGCTCGCGCCATTGCCGAGGAGGAACTGGACGACGGCCGCATGGCCGTGCTCCACCGCCATGTGCAGCGCCGTCTTGCCCTCGAGCTTGTCGCTGAAGGACTGGTAGTCGATGCAGGCGCCGGCCTTGAGGCTCGACTTGACCTGCTCCAAGTGCCCGGCCTTGGCGGCCGCGACGAGCTGGCGGGACTCTTTGAGGTGGAGCCTGCGCCACAGGCTCTCGAGGGAGGTTAATTTCGGCCTATTCGGTAGACCGCTCGGATCGGATGGGACGCGGTAAGTAGCATGAGGGTCCCTGCTCGGAGAGGATCCAGATGTCCAGTTAGCATCGTGCTTTGTGGGATATGGAAGCCAAGACCGCCAAACTTTGGCCCAGAAGCTTTCTTTTCAGGGCGAGATGTGTGGGGGAATCCATACTTGGTCCTCATGAGCCGCTCGATCCAAACAACCCGCTTGTTCAAGTCCCTTCGCTGCTTCTCAATGTCTTTCTTCTGCCACAAGAAAGCCACGACACCGCGGGCTTTGTTGAGCTGCATGCGCTGCTCGTGCTGGACAGCGAGGAGCTTGAGGCTCCTGAGGCAGGACCACGCCCCCTCTAGGTTTTTTACGAGCGACCCGTGTTGACCCTTGACGACGACGGGACTGCCCTGGAGCCACCTGAGGACGTCATTGGCGGCCATCACGTCCAGGACAAGATTATGGACGTCGACAGGGGCGTCCTGTATGCTCTGAGTGAGCTCACAAATGTTGACGAATGCCGTCGCGACGCCTTTAGAAAGGCTGACGCACGAGGCGATCAGAACCTCCATGGTAACAAACTTGGGTTGAAGAATTAAGTGTGAGCGAAGGGTGCGGGTACCGGATGTAGCACGATAGACTTTGGGTGAAAACAAGCATGGAAACAGAAGTGAAGTCTGACGGAGGGGATAAAACTTATAATGTGGAGGTTTGATGAGCAGACTGGCCGGGCAGACGGGGAAGGAAAAGGATAGTGACACCTAGGTTCTCAACTGCCAGAGTGCCCGGGCTCTGGCCAGGGGCGGCAGAGAAACAATGAGGAGACGAGCAGGCTGCCAGTCCGCCCACCGAGGTGCGTACTATCACGAACGCACGAGCCCATGGCTTGCTGCCTCTGCCTCTGTCTCTTTCTCTCTTCCAATCAAAGTCTCGACTACTGCGGCTGGGGGACGGCGACGTAGCAACAATCTCTCCCGATGCTGTTATGGCCTTGGACCGGGAGGCCGCCAGCCTTGAAGCAGCCTCGCGCAGCAGCACTCTGGCATCGCAGCCTACACCGCTCCAGGGGCTGGCCGTCGCCATCACCAGGCTTGGCCCAGGTGCATCCCATGGGGGTACGTGGCAGTCCGTGCTACGGCGGCCGGTGAGAGAGCGAACAGGCCCAGTTTCGCCACCACAACGGGGTCTACTTTTGAGGGGGCCGCCCTTGGCGCGACGACATTAGGAGGGGGCGTGCCGGGGGACTACATCGTCTTCACATGCCAGCACGCCTGGTGCTGAGCAGCTGCGTTGCTGAGAGCAGGGTTCCGGGTGAAAGCAGCACGTCATGAACCAGATAGAACACAGCGACGACCGGACAAGCCCGAGGGGCTCTGCAGCAGGCAGTTGTGGCAGTGAAGGGGCGAAAGTGCTGGAACCAGCCAGGGGAAGGCGCCGTAACACACAACCACGCCCGCATGCGCCAGACCCAAAAGAACATACAACCGAGTCCAGGGCGCGCTCGGTGTTGGCTCGGCTTTGGTTTACAAGCAAAGGGTGTGTAGATTATGTGCACCGATTTCACGATATGGCCCCAGGTCTAACTGGCCCTTGGCCGCCCGCCTCGGGGAAGCACGATCCCGTCCGCGCAACCCCCATTTCGTGCCAAGAAATCTCTAGCGTCAACATGGCTTTGTGGACTGGCAGGGCTCGGCTCGTGTGCATGTGTCGTTCCTGCACGTCTGACTCCTCTTAGCCGGAGTCTCACTCCCCCTAGCCGGAGCTTGTCGGAGCCGGGGCGCCTACCTCGCTGGTGTGCGGCTGCCTATGGAAGGGGATTGTTGCCAGCAGGCTCAATAGGGGTGTCAAAGGACTCTATGAAAATCAGGAAGACATCCAAACACCAAGTACTGGTTTTTGGTTTGTTCAGACAAAAAAAGTCCGCTGCGAAAATGAACAAAGTGAAGAGTGCACCTGTAACTGCTCTTTTTTTTCCTCACAAACGGGGCTTCTTGCTTGCCTTGTCCATTCAGCTGCAGGCAGAAGCAGTCTAGCTAGGCAGCTGAACGCCATCGCGGCCACGGCCTCGGCCTCGGCCTCGGCCTAGGCCAACAACCTATCACAATTGCATGCAGTCCACCCTCTGTCCCGCATGGCGTTTGACATGCCTTGGGCTCCCACACTTACAGTGCTGGAAACTCAAGCTTCTGTCTAACTCTTTTTGATTCGTGTTTACCCCTCATCTGGCCCAGTGATTTGGGCAGAAACGGTCGTATTTCGGACTCTCACAAGATGCTCCAGGCGCTCCTGGATAACCTCGTCCCGTTTCCCCTGCGTTAGCGCTTCAGTCGACATTTCATTCCAAGCCCATGTACCACTATCAGGCTTCCAATCATTCCTGTTCGGCCATCCTCGTCTCACTCCATCCGAGACGTAGCCTGACCGCCTCGCTTTCTCCATGGCTGGCAACTAACCGGTTAGCCACGCCCCGCCCGAGGACGGCCTCCGCCTTTCATCCCTCGACGGTGGAGGCGTGCGAGGTCTGTCCTCTCTGTTGATCCTGCAGCATGTCATGCGGACAGTTAACCGTGAAAACCCGCCCAAGCCCTGCGGGGTCTTTGAGACCGAGATAAAGAAGATGGTCCAAGATAAGCTTGGGGATCCAGATGCGGTTCTGGCCAACCACTCAATGCGAGCGTGCAGAGTGTACGTAAGCTGGAAGCAATCCTCCTAACCCTATGGACGTGCACTAACGCACTAACCCACCAACACTTCATTTGAACTGCAGATTCGTTTGTGCCACGGCCCAAAAGTCGGCCGGAGATGTCTGCTTTCGGAACTTCGAGTCCAGTCGCTTCTCCCCAGTTGGCAACGTCAAGATCTAAGAGGCCTGTAGAGCCATCTCGGCCGCTTCAGCCCTCTTCAAACCCATCATCATCGGCAACTAGGAGTTTATCGACGGCGCTTTCCGGTGGAACAATCCCATCAACGAGCTCTGGAGCGAGACCAAAGACAATTGAGGGGCAGCGGCCCTAGAGTCTGACCTCAACTGCATCGTCTCCCTCGGGACGGGGGTGGACAACCAACCTTGGCAAAGTAGGCAACAGCGTCACATCCATGTAGCAAACCCTCCAGGACATTGTTACCAGCACGGAAGATGTCCATCGGCTATTCAGCCGCAACAAGTCCAATCTCCTGCCGAGTGGACAGTATTTCCGCTTTGATGTCTCTTGCGGGCTGCGCGAGGTTGGACTGGATGAGAAGCGGCGACGGAGGACTACCTGAAGGGAGAGAGTGTCCTCTGGCTGGATGGCCGAGACGGGACCAAGCCCAGGGGCAGTATCGCGCAGCACCTCGCCAGAATCCCGATATCCCCGATCCCCGAGGCGGACAGGCATACATATGCCGCGGCCATCAGAGCGACACCGGACCCGAGCGCGGCAGTACAGTGCTTCAAGATCTGGCTCTCGCTCACGGGTAACACCAGGTGGCTGCTGGTCTTTGACAACAACGTCGACAAGGAGCACCGAAGGCCAAGTGGCTCTTTAGGCGAGGAGGGAGGGCCCGCCCACCACACTCAAAAACAAGGCGCCGATAAGGGAGCCTACGACCTGGCGAGTTACATTGACATCGATCAAGGGTCTGTCCTGATCACCGCTCGGCTTTCGACCCTCGGTCACCTCGGCCACACGATTCGTTTGGGCAAAGCCGATGATAAACTTGCCAGAGGCACTTTTGATAGTTGACGCAACAGAGAATCCTCGCAAGCTGCGTCTACCGCTGTCGATCTGGCGGCCGAACCGAAATTGCTGCAAAAGCTCGACGGCCTTCCTCTCGCGATAACACAAGCCAGAGTCTATATTGGACATGGCCTTTGTAGCCCATCTAGCTATCTAAAAGACTATGATGAGCAGTGGGACGAGGTGGCCTAGAGGTCCCAGGGCGATCGGGACGCCAAGACCATCTGGACGACTTGGAGGTATGTCCTTCCGCGCCATCAAGGAGGAGAACAAGGACGCAGCCATGCTCCTGCAACTATGGGTGCGTTGCCAGCCGGCAGGACATGTGCTGGGGGCCTGCTGGAGCACGCAGCATCGGTTCAAGCACCGAAGGACTGGTGGCTCGCCCTGGGTCGCCAGGCTGGCCCACAGCAGCTTCGCATTCAAGGACACCATGGAGATCCTGCTCCGCTACTCCATGGGTCTCCAAGAGCGAGCCCGGGGCTGACCAGCTCCAAGGCAGGAGACGAATCTTTTCGAAAGGAAGAGCTATCGTTTCCCACCTGGCCGCCGCCGTCGAGCACGTGCATCACATCTCCACGCGGGCCTGGGAGGAGGGGAACCAGCCGCAAAGCGACGACGACAGCACCTTTGCTCCATCATGCTGATAATCCGGGCTCTTGTGTCACAAAACGGAAACGGGCGCTGAGAGCTTAAGCTTGAAGCGTGATATGGGAAAACAGGAGGTTGCGGTGACAACTGGGGTCTTTATTGGGTCAGCGTGGGCGGGATACCGACAAGTCCAAAGGGCATCGTTGCGTGTCCGCGGATTCCTCTCTTGGTTGCCTTCCCAGACGTGTTGACGCTGAGGTCACAAACGGAAGGCAAGGAATGTAGTGCTATAGGCACCTATAGGTTCGTACATATTCATCAAACATTGTGGGATTAAACATCCTTGTCAGCAACGATCGTGTTGTGTCGGAGGTGCAGACTGTCGGATTGAGGGAAAGCTGGCAAAGGAAAAGCCAACGATCCCAGGACTAAATACTAGCGTTGTGGGTATGTCATGTGACCCACCTCACACATGTTCCACAAAGTCAGGCAAGTCATTGGAGTTCAAGATTTATGCTTTATGTCACCAGATATAAATCTACTAGAGAATACCCTAGCCCCTTGGGCTTACCCCTTCACCTGTCCAGTCGCCGGCCACTCATAGACCAGAGTGACGGAGTGCTCGACACGAAAAACACAAAAAGACAAGTGACAAATGGAAGCGTAAAAGTTAAGGTTGGAAAAATCGGCCTAAAGCCCTCCTCTTTCATTGTTTGGCTGTTGCCTCTCGTCTGAGAGCCACATGAATATCCAGAGCTAGGAGTAATAACTACCCAGCTAGGCAAAAAATGTACTGGACCAATAGATATTAGATGTTGCCGGCCCAGGCAAGGTCGGATTCGACCACTCCCGAGTCTGCAGAGTCCAAGCCGTGTCTCCCAGGAACAGGGACCAAGGCAGGACAGGGATTTCAAGAAAAAGGGGAAAGAAAAAAGGAAAGTGAAAGAGAAAACCCAAAAGATGACCCACGACCTATACACGCCAGGCACCAAGAAGATCGACTAAGAACCGGGAACGACTGCTTGTGCCAGACACGCATGATCGAGAGCCAAAGGGGGGAGGTATCGTCATGC